ATTTCTGTATCAAGGTAATGCTGGTCCCTTAAATGGATTTGAAAATACTCTTTCCCTTTCTATTCTTTGTAAGGGTTTATGTAACTGTCATTATTTATTTACATGTTTGCTATGATTCTTGACGAAGACCTCTTGGCCTGGAACTCTCTCTGTGGGAAGTTTATCTGCCAGGCTGGTTTTCAGCTCCTGGCTCAGTTGATCCTCCTGCTGCAGCCTGCCTGGTTGCTGGGACAGGTGCACACACTACACCCAACTATAACTCGGGTTTTTAAAAGCCTCCGGACTAATCAGATTTATTTCCTTCCTTCCTTCCTTCCTTCCTTCCTTCCTTCCTTCCTTCCTTCCTTCCTTCCTTTCTTTCGTTTTGGTGAATTTTCTTTTCATAGACATTTGTTCTGTCCGTTTGTATTTCAGATACTGTGTCCGTCTTAGATTTTCTGTTAGGCGCATTTCTCCAGTACCTGTTCTTACCCTTCTTCATGGATAAACGCTGTGAGGTCCATCTGGCCCATGGTTTGGTTTGATTCTGATGGTTCTTCATGGTCTTTTGTTAGATGGACTGTGTGCTGGTGACRGTGGGTGTCTGTTACTGTATTGGAGCTTCTCTCCCCCTTTTGTCTGCTCAGGTTTGCTTTGTGTCATTGGGAGGGTCTCAGCAGGGGGTGTGTGTCTATTTACAATTGGTATTTCCTTGTTGAGGGGATCCCATGTGGTTGCCTGGTGAGCTGCTCTGTTGGCCCACCTTTGTCCTGCTCCTTGGGGTTCCCTCTGTGTGATGGCCTTCTCTGTCCCTCCACTCTACTCGGTGGCTTTACCAGGAAGTGAGCTTCCTGTAGGGAACGTGTCCCCGTGTCCCCGGTGCTGCTTTTGTGTTTTGTTGTAATCCAGTCAGCTGGTCTGAATCTACGAGGAGAATYTACTCCTCTTACTCCCAGGGTTTGATTGATAAGTAGTGACATGCTCTTGTCGTTTGATGCATGTTTTTGCAGGTTGTCCCCTATGTCTACCCGTGTTCCTTTCTTCTTGCTCATCTTTGAGGCCTGGTTTTTGGTGTTGGTAGATCCTCCACCTGTGATTAAAGAGAAAGTATCTGTGGTAAGAGGTGGCACACACCTGTAATCAGGAGGCCGAGGCAGGAGGATCACAAGTTGGAGGTCAGTCTTGGCCATTTAGTAAGACCCTGCTTCAAAAAAAAGAAAAAAGAAAAGAAAGAAAGAAAAGAAGGGCTGGAGATGTAGCTGAGTGTTAGAGTGCTTGCCTAGCATGCACAAGGCCCTGGGTACTGACCCCCCCCCCCCAAAAAAAAAGTGTCTCAGAAAACCAATATAAAATAAGAAATGAAGATGATAATGTCCAGTTCCAAGACCTGACAGGTTACACAGTGCCCAACAGGCACACATTATTCTATTAGTAAATAATCATGATTCTATAAAATGCCATTATGGTTT